AAAAAAAAAAGGGGGGGGGGGGGAATATTGTCAACAAAAGCAGAACCTGTACTATTTTGGATATATAGGATCCGAGCCTTCAGCTAGAAAAATCTTTTCATAAGTCAACAACATCCTTCGCAAAAAAGCCATAGAGGAAGTTTCCTTCTCTCTGATAACTGCCATCTCCCACTTCAAATTCTCTATCTCCCTCTCCATCTCTCTTTCAACCCCCACCCCCACCCCCACCCCAAATCCAAAATCCACCCGACTTTACCCTTAAGGTTAGGGTTTAACCTTTTTTCAAAATCCACCGGACCACCCCCATCTCCACCTGCTACCGGCCACCATTATTCACCCAACAACCTCCACCGCCCAACTCATTATTCAATAATATAAAATTACTCACTGGAGATTTCAGTCTCCCAAACTAACACCATAAAAGGAGAAATCAACCATCAGCGCAAAGCAACAACTAATCTAGAATCATAGAACAGGAAATGATTAATCAAGAACCAAGATTTTAAACAGGAAACTTGACAGTTAATGAAGTGCTATGGCAGATGTGAAAGCAAATAGTAAGTGCATTTCTTAGAAATTAACCGAGAAAAGGTATGCTAATATATAACTGAAGCTAGTTGGCATGAAAAGTATCTGCAATGTGCTCGATGACTAAGGTGTCTAGTAACCCCTATATGATGCTTATTATTGGACATGAAGTTCAAATTGGATCAAATTAGTAAGGTACTAGGGCCTTGGAATAGAATTATAAATTCTCTGTTTTAATTTCACGAATTCTAACTTTAAGTATTTCTTTATTGAAATTTGGATGGTGGAGGTTGTTGGGTGGTCCAGTAGCAAGTGGTTGTGGAGGTGGAGATGGCGTGGTCAGGTGGGTTTTGGGTTTGAGGTGGGGGTAGGGGTAGGGTTGGGTAAGGGGCGAGAGGAAGAAGCTTATTGTGTGTGTTTTCATTTTTTATTTCTTATTTTTTAATTTAATGTGATAAATGACAAGTTACTCTTTTGCCCTTTTTAAAATATTAAAAATGTGGTCAAAGTTAATTTTTTGATCAATTGATGCAATTATGGATGGAAATTCTTCAAAAGGGCTTCACCTGCAATATTTGGAAATATTAAGGGTGACAGTTGTAACAAATCAAATGTTTGGAAAAGTCTGCTAATATTTTAAAGGTTCGTGGCTTTTGCTGCAATTATTCCTTTAGTTTTTCCGTAAAATTTAGTGTACCAATTTTAACCCGCAAAAAGTTGGACATATGAGAGTCACCTGGTTTAGAATGGCAATATTGATGGAAACTATTAAACTAGGGACCAAGGTGCTAAAACCTTGAAAGGTTGAGGATCCAGTTGCAAAAAGATTTTGGGACTTGTTTGCACAAATTTAATAGTTTGGGAGTCTTCCTGCAATTTTGTGTTTCTTTTCCCTGTGATAAGGATGCATGAAAACACAGCAACAACGTTCCATCGACTGGTTTGAGTCATTTTCCTATCACATGACTGTGAAACTTGCACATCTACTTGTGCTGTTAAGGTAATGATGTATTTGGTAATTAAAGGATGCATTTCATTTTCTTGCTCTGAGGCTTAACATGCTTAGGTGGAGTCCATTATAGTCTTTCCTAGTGTAGAAACGCAGAATCAAGAGACAGGCAGCTATAATAGCCTGATGTGAATGGTACTCAAATTACTTAAAATTTCTGTTGAGACAGGTCTTGATATAGTGATTAGGATAAAACATACCTCTCCAAAAACAATACTGAATTCCTTCTGTTGATAGCCCTGATAAAAATAAAGAGAACTGTAACGTCAGACTTTCTTGGAAATATCTATAATGATGTTAACCCATTTCTTTATGTTACCTTTAAATATTGTGGGTATGGACGTTCCAAAATACACAGTTCGTCGTGGCAAATTCCATAACCAGTCTCTAGGGACATTGATAGGGTTCAGGCTAGATTCATGGTCAGCAAACACCTGTAAATTTGCAAGTTATATTCTCGAAACCATTTCAAAAGACAAGTACTCTTATGTACACGGACTTCGACTGATCTTACCTCATTAACTTGAAAATAGGTACCATTGAGTGGAAAGCTTCCTCGCATGGCTGTTCTGCAGGGTATCTGTCATGATTGGTTTTACTGATTAGACTGATTAAGAATAAGAATT